ATCTCGGTTAAGTAGTTTTGACGTAAGACATAAGATATAATAATGCTAATAATATACAACATTTGTTAAGGTGACACTGCAATTTAACGGACACTTGACTAGTGAGTTGCTGACTTAATTGGTTACAGTTGATATAAGAAATTTTAAACTGTTCCGTTCAGGTGGATATATATAATTGTATAGTTATCTTGAATTTGCCTTGCGTGACTACTGGTACAAGTTAATGTATATGTTACCAATAAATCACATACCGTTAATAAAGCATGACCATTACTTTGTCTTAGTTATATTGTTTGTTTCAAGGCAGTAATTTGTTATTACAATAAATCTTTGTCGTTATTACTATAGAGTAAGTAGTTACTACGAAACAATTTTTTTATCGTTCCGTCTTCCGTATATTTCATTAAGAAATTCAAAAAAACACTGTTTAGTTATGTTTTATTAATAGCCCAGAGACTTCAGACTTTGAAGAAGTGTATATTGCTATCGCATTTTACAATGCCTGGTTGTAGGTTTGATAAAGTTGTAATATTTTTTCCTTAACACGTTTCTTTTTTGTTAATTGGACTCTGGTAATTAACTAAATGTAAGGTGTAAGGTCTGTATGTAATAACAAGAATTACAAGAGTAAGTGTAACAACATGAGTCTTCTGCTAGATGAGACTGTTTGAGGTGTTCAGCTCTGGACTGATAACTTAAATACTTGCTGTACATGTAGTATTAGTGTCTTTGGATACAGTCATTGATTAATTGCACTCGATTTGTATTACTTGATGGACTGTGAATTGCAGTAGACGTGGGGTGATACTATATTTGTAGATCTACTATGTGTTAATTTGACCAAGCTAGTAACCTTAACTTTGCAAACTGAAAGGGCGAAAACAGATAAGCTGTATCAGAATAAAGTAGTTTATTTCAAAAGTTTTGATTGAGTTCGTTGTGAAAAAATACCCTTCCTCACAGTGCCTCTAATATAATGTTGCTACCTGCTTTGTGTACGGTATTTTATTTACTATAGTGACAGTAACACCATACATCCTTAGTAAATAACAAAACCTTAATAACGATCATCATTAAGTAGGAACCCCTCTCTTGTTTATACTCCGTGTGTTGTATTTGTTTGCAAATAGATGATTACATTGTCAATATTTCGTATTACATTACGTGTTTATATAAGTTTGCATAACTCAATGAATAAGAGGGCGTTTTCAATTGAAGAACTATTGAAAACTGGATTTAAATGTCGTTTTAAACATGATATTATGTGAATGCACCATTGCTTGTTTATACTAGTGCTTAAATTAAAATATAGCCATAGCGGCAAAGTGTACACCGTGATTTAAAGTGACATGTTAAAGGACATATATACAGCTGTGTTTTGGTGAAAACAATGCGGAGTTATGAATATTATGAATGCATAGGTAAGCGTGAAGACATTAGATGCCTGTGTGTAAATGGCACCATGTACTAAAGGTATTACCTAGTCAACATGTACAATACAGCTACCTGTGAAAAGAGACATAACGTAGTCTGAGTGTGAAGGAAATGTATCTACAAGGTCACAGCCTATTCTTCAGGAATGCGATTTTATAAGTTTATGTAAAACATTAAATTTCTATTCCAATCTCAAATTATTTTGTAATTGTTTTGGATTTTGTTAAATGCTATTATACCCTGGTATTAGCATAAACTATTTCTTACAACAATAAATGTCTTTGTGTAATTTTTGGAAAACAACTAGCAGAGTTCTCGGGTGTGCTTTTTTCAAGTAGACCACATCAACACGATGTTATAAGTAGAGTATTTTAGTTAATCTACACAAAACAAAATGTTAGGGCTATATTGTTATATGAGCTTATATCAAGTTAAGATTTAAACGTACACGTCTGACGTAACGTAAAGTAAACAAACACCACTGTGATCCCATCTGTATACATGGATTTTGCACTTGTAACTTTTAAACTTATGTAAACCCACCGTAAATACTGTTTTTATATTTAAACGAACAACTCCTATATATTTTCTTCTTATGGTCGATTTCTTTCAAAAAATGCATTCTGATTTATTATTCAATGTTGAAATCTTGTACACATATTTCACTTTATATAATGGCGTCTATACTATGAACATGACCTTACTGAATATGCAGTCGAGCTAGTTGATTTACATACCCTCTGCATAGCATTCGTGTGTCGACATGACACTATAAATAGACCGCTGTCTGGTTAATATCCGGTAAATGTAGTGGGTGTGTTTTAAGTATGACAGTGGCTTGTCGTATTTTTAATATTGTTAGACCTGTACCCAAGCAATAAGGGCACTTTAAGATATCTTGCCTGGTATATATACTGTTTTATTATTAAAATAATACTATTGTCACTTTTATTAAGTCCATTATAGTTATAAAAACCAAAAAGAAATGTTTGTTTATTATAATCAAATGGAATAATCAATGCATCTAATAAAAACTCAAAATTTTGTAAAATATTCTTGACTTTGTCACATTCCCAGAATACATGCTCTATTGTCTCTATTTCTAGTTTACACAGTTCACAGTAAGGGTTATCTACTATTCCTGCCTTAAACAAATATGCATTAGTTGTCAAAATGTGCTGATTAATCCTGTACTGGAACCACTGTAATTTGGTATTTTTCGTAATTTTAAATGGCATTTTATAAAAAAAAAAATCCAAACTTCATCAACAAATTGAAACATATCATCCCATATTTATTTTTTACCTGTTGATATAGTATCATTTTTTACAAAACAAGCTATAAAAATCTCTTATCCCCTTTTTATTTTTCAAAAACACTTCTATATTTATTGGTATAAATGGATAGTTAACCTCTACATTTGACCTATCTTCTTGTATTATATACTCTCTAATGGCATTTATTAGACCAAGGTATCGTAAACAGTTTGTATCGATATCATAAATCTGTTTGAATTCTTGAAATGTGTAAAAAGCATAGATATTTATGTCTCTGGTTAGATCATCAATTACAATTATTCCTTTATTGTACCACTCCCTGTAAAATATGCTTCTATTTTTTATTAAAAATATTTTTGTTATACCAGATGGGCATTTTGAACTTAATGCTAGGGGACTTATATTTTCTTCTTATGGTCGAATTCTTTAAAAAAAAATGCATTCTGATTTATTATTCAATGTTGAAATCTTGTACACATATTTCACTTTATATAATGGCGTCTATACTATGAAAATGACCTTACTGAATATGCAGTCGAGCTAGTTGATTTACATACCCTCTGCATAGCATTCGTGTGTCGACATGACACTATAAATAGACCGCTGTCTGGTTAATATCCGGTAAATGTAGTGGGTGTGTTTTAAGTATGACAGTGGCTTGTCGTATTTTTGATTGTTAGACAAACACGGATTAATGTAAGTTACCTGTACTCAAACAATAAAGGCACTTTAAGACATTTTGCCTTGTATACATACTGTTTTATTATTAAAATAATACTATTGTTACTTTTATTAAGTCCATTATAGTTATAAAAACCAAAAAGAAATGTTTGTTTATTATAATCAAATGGAATAATCAATGCATCTAATAAAAACTCAAAATTTTGTAAAATATTCTTGACTTTGTCACATTCCCAGAATACATGCTCTATTGTCTCTATTTCTAGTTTACACAGTTCACAGTAAGGGTTATCTACTATTCCTACCTTAAACAAATATGCATTAGTTGTCAAAATGTGCTGAATAATTATCTACTGGAACCACTGTAATTTGGTATTTGTCGTAATTTTAAATGGCATTTTACAAAAAAAAAATCCAAACTTCATCAACAAATTGAAACATATCATCCCATATTTTTTTTTACCTGTTGAAATAGTATAATTTCTACAAAACAAGCTATAAAAATCACTCATCCCCTTTTTATTTTTCAAAAACACTTCTATATTTATTGGTATACATGGATAGTTAACCTCTACATTTGACCTATCTTCTTGTATTATATACTCTGTAATGGCAGTAATTAGACCCTGGTATCGTAAAAAGTTTGTATTAATATCATAAATCTGTTTGAATTCTTGAAATGTGTAAAAGCATAGATATTTATGTCTCTGATTAGATCATCAATTACAATTATTCCTTTATTGTACCACTCCCTGTAAAATATACTTCTATTTTCTATTCAAATATTTTTGTTATACCCGATGGGCATTTTGAACTTAATGCTAGGGGACTTATATTTTCTTCTTATGGTTGAATTCTTAAAAAAAAATGCATTCTGATTTATTATTCAATGTTGAAATCTTGTACACATATTTCACTTTATATTATGGCGTCTGAACGCCAGGTAGGGTGAGAGGTTCACACTTAACAATGTAGAGAGGGATGTTCAGACTTACCAGGTAGGGTGAGAGATTCACACTTTACAATAGTGAGAGGGATGTCCGGACTTACCAGGTAGGGTGAGAGATTCACACTTTACAATATAGAGAGGGATGTTCAGACTTACCAGGTAGGGTGAGAGGTTCACACTTTACAATGTAGAGGGGGTGTTCAGACTTACCAGGTAGGGTGAGGGGTTAACACTTTACAATGTAGAGACTTACAAGGAAGGGTGAGAGATTTACAATTAACAATGTAGTGAGGGGTGTCCAGACTTACCAGGTAGGGTGAGGGGTTAACACTTTACAATGTAGAGAGGGGTGTCCATACTTACCAGAAAGGGTAAGATATTCACACTTTACAATATCGAGAGGGATGTTCAGACTTACCAGGTAGGGTGAGAGGTTCACACTTAACAATGTAGAGGGGGATGTTCAGACTTAAAAGGTAGGGTGAGATATCCACACTTTACAGTATACAGAGGGATGTTCAGACTTACCAGGTAGGGTGAGAGATTCACACTTTACAATATTGAGAGGGATGTTCAGACTTACCAGGTAGGGTGAGAGGTTCACACTTTACAATGTAGAGGGGGGTGTTCAGACTTACCAGGTAGGGTGAGGGGTTCACACTTTACAATGTAGAGACTTACAAGGTAGGGTGAGAGATTTACACTTAACAATGTAGAGAGGGGTGTCCAGACTTACCAGGTAAGGTGAGGGGTTAACACTTAACAATGTAGAGAGGGAGGTCAGACTTACCAGGTATGGTGAGGGGTTCACACTTTACAATGTAGAGAGGGATGTTCAGACTTACCAGGTAGGGTGAGAGATTCACACTTTACAATATAGAGTGGGATGTTCAGACTTACCAGGTAGGGTGAGAGGTTCACACTTTACAATGTAGAGGGGGTGTTCAGACTTACCAGGTAGGGTGAGAGATTCACATTTTACAATGTAGAGAGGGATATTCAGACTTATCAGGTAGGGTGAGGGGTTCACACTTTACAATGTAGAGACTTACAAGGTAGGGTGAGAGATTCACACTTTACAATGTAGAGAGGGGTGTTCAGATTTACAAGGTAGGGCGAGGGGGCATTTTCATCTGACAGCTGGAAGAAGTAGGCAGTAACAGGTATTGTCACAGGTTTGGGACAGAAGCAGCCTCCGGCTCCAAACTCTGCTGTAAAGCCACTGACCACCCCAACAGACTCTATTCGACCATTCAATACAGATTCCTAGAATTAGACAGACAACTTGCGTTATGAAGATTGAATACAAATGTAATGTTAACAATCAAGCATTTATATCCATACAACATGAACCCTCTGATGGCATAACAGTAAATACCAGTATAAATGTCAATAAAACATAAACCAAGATGCCCGTTGGGTCTGTATTACTCACCTGGTACGAATCTCGCACTTGCAACTTTAAAAGTTGACGAAAATAAAGCTACAGGCTAAATAGCATTACCACTTAAGAACCTGTTGATAGATTTTAACACACTTAGTCCCCTGCTACATTGAAAGTCTAAAAAGGCCATTACGTTAAACAACTTGATAGCCCTTCATCACAATATGCTACTGGCAAAATATCATTGCCCTAGGCCCTTTTGCTATGAAGTACCCAGAGAAAAAAAAACCTAACGACTGCCTCACGTAGGGCTCGAACCCACGACCTAGTGCTTTGTGCCCATACTAAGTTATGCTCCAATGAGTGTAAAACATGCCAATGTAATGCCAGTAAGCAGCTCAAAGACTCTAATGATATTGCACTGATTAACACTCAATCATAAATCCAAGAACTTATTGAGGTCTATACAAACTCTAACAAATCTTTTAACTGTAGATGTCAAAATACCTCAAAGTGTTCGAAGAGACTGTTGGTAGATGCTGGTGCACTGGTACTTAGTCCTTTGCTGGAGTTCACAGCAACTCCGGTACATTCGAAATGGAGCACCACCATGGAACAGGACAAAGCACTACAAACAGATATCAGGCATCGCTTGTTCAAAAATATGTGAAAAAAAAGTAAATAATGTCAGGAATTGTATTGAAATGACATTAAACTTCAAAATGTTATAAATCTGTTCAGTACCGAGGGACACTGTGTACTTGCCAACTGGGTCACCTACTTTTGATGGCACGAGTGTTGATCAGTTATTGTCAAAGTCAAATCGTCCCATGGACTTCCTTTTCACCGGAGCCTGTGGGAATATAGAAGGATTAATATTTTGATAAAAGTTCCAAGCAACAACGTTATTCACAGGTATTATAAAAAAGGAGAAAAGGTGCAAGTGTTTTGTTTCTAAGACTATACAATACATATCAAGGTCATGCATGTACCTATAAAATCTGTTCTGTCACTAGGGTACATTGTTTCCCTGTTCTTATTCGACGGAAAAGAAACAGTCTCCCAAAATCTCAACCTCAATACAAATAGCATCATATATGTTTAACATTTTATGCGCGAAAAAAAAGGTAGTGTTGGGGATTAATTTCAATATTATAATAAATGATATATTAAGTGACCGTGATGTGTTATTATGATTATTATCAATACATGTATATACATCAACAACATAAAGTTATCCCACATGCATGGCGAACCATCTGATAATAAATTTTACTAACATTGTATTTATACACAGTATTATACAAGGTCACACGGATGTCTTTGGAATGTTTGTCTTAGAACAACATGATATTTAAATTCATTGATGCAGACAGGGACCATTTTGATAAGTGAATTTTGTTTTTAACTTATGGCAAATAAACATCATTAGATTGAAAAGGAGTTATATTGATCAGACCTGAATATGAATAAATTGGAATGTTTCAAAGAAATTTTCCTTTAGATTCATGCTTAGGACAGGTTTTTCTTTGTGAGCGAGATTGCCTGTGGTCCTTATGGGCTAGACGTTGCGAGCTGTTTAATCTAATCCAGATAATAATTATTATGTAAAACCATTAGCCAGCATTTTACTATCCGGTTACCGTCACATTACCCGACATGTCCAATCTTTGACTTCTGTTTACTACCTTTATCAAGTGGGAATGACCCCGTCTGCCATTTCGACGTAGAGATACACTCCGTCTCTCGTATTTTTTCACGCCGTGTTTACACGAACAAGTAGGCCTATACTATATATTGTTCTCTAGATTTATTCATGTTTCTATCAATGCACTTGACCTCACGTAATCAAAATGATTTTTGTACAGTGCTTAGCTTTCTGTTAGCCGAGGGGATATTCAACAACAAAAGCATATTCCACATAAATACCTACTGTTTGTTGTTTATGTAAAATTTGTGGTATAATTGTTCCATGGTGACTGTTTATATATGTTATATGTTGTGTTATATAACAGTTCATGTTTCCGTGTTGATAAAGGGACGGATCGACCAGCTAATTTAACAAATTTATTTGTCTGTACTGTCGCTATTACCTCTCTGTCCATATACATTATATATTTACATGCGATTTTAATATTTTTTGATAATATCTAAAAAGAGGAAGATGCCGACGCATGCAATATCATCACTCACTTTGTGACGTCATTATGGCAAGATACATCGCGTTGTGTGTTTACAATGTTATTAAAAAAAGCCCAGAACTGCATGCCAACTCAATCTGAAATTTGGGGAAAGTAACCTCCATATTGTTTGGAAGGTATAATTGGTATAAGTTCAGACGAGTTTGGCGTCACAAGGCTTCAATACTTTCTTTTCGTGATTTCAACTTTACATTACAGTGTGCATATATACATACATATTGGACTGCATTCAAATATACGTTTGCTAGACATCCAATTATTCACCTTCTTGTTTATGACATGAACGCACGGTCTTGTTAAAAAACTAGAAATAAACCTGTTATCTTGAACACGTCAAAATGGAAAATTATTTTGATTTTACTAGATCATTTAAAGTCTTAAGGAAACACATTTCGTTAGTTTGATTTAGGAAATCGATGAACAAAATGCATACTGCTAACTGTATCTGCGTCTCATTCTAGTAATTTCATGTACTTGTATATTTCAACATCACACAGTTAATCTTATCAGGTAAGCAGTCCGCGGTCGGTACAACAGTGAGTATAGATGTACAGAAGACCCTCTTTATTCTCAACCGTACACAATTATGTAGATGAACAGTTTGCCGAGCGGTGATCAATGTGTTACATGCTAGTATTGGTTTGCACAATCCAGTGGATAGGACACCTATTTGTATCGAAAACGTAGTGCAAACCAGTTTTCACAAACTGATTTACTTGTGTCAATACACCATTGTATGTTTTGTAAGACGGGACACTGGAATGTCCCTCATATTGCCATAGTACCAGTGTTTATGCCGTCATTATAACGACATAATGGAGGAGATACGTGCAGCTAATGCAGGAAAAACACAATTGAAGAGTTTTGATTTTATTTTATCCATGAGTCTCCTTGTACAACTAAACTGCCTGTGTAAAGAAGGCATCAACGTAGTTTTACTGTAAAATACATGTTGAATATAGCTGTCTGTGTATACAGTCATTGTGAAACACTGCGCGTAAACGAAAGTTGTCTGCGAGGTCACCTGTCGTGAATTGAGGTAAGTGCTTTGGTTCAATTAAGGCTCTTTCTGCTATTTGGTGAGAAAGATCACTTGATATGGGAGCGATAACCTTATTAAAAATATGAAAACATTTTTAAATCAGTCAAATTAATGATAATATATCCTCACATTAAAACACATAATATCAATAATCTCGATGTATTGACGGTTAAAATAATTATGCAATTGTCTTAAAAATCGTTTTGTTTCGTGTATAGCATACTTAAAATACATGGACACAATGAGATATTGGACAGGTAAATATGACTTAATATAATAACAAAACTAGATAAGTTTATTATTCACATATTGTAGCATGCACAGCACTTATTCTGTAAGATTACTATGCATTAGTCGTGTTTGTTAGAGTTCAACCTGACAGTGTGCTATGTATTCCCGAAGCTTAAACGGATCTATCTTCTTGACGTAAACGAAAGAAATTAAGCTTAATTCTGTATTGATTTAAACATGAATATGGTGATGGCATGTCGTGTGAGTGAATTAAAGAACCACAATTGATAATTAAAGTATGACCAATTACAACCAAGTTATGTAACGACAACAGACCGGGATTGAGTAAATACTGGTTTCTTAGAACATATGGCAAATACGGTTAATACCGTATATACAATGTATTTACAATGCATAATTTGTACATAATATACAATATTCATCACACACAAAATCCGAACGACTCTCTCTCTCTCTCTCTCACTATCAACTCGCTAACTAATGACATGTAATCTGTACATATATATATATATATATATAACTAATATTACAGAATGCCATATCAACACCCTAAAGTCTCTGTAGCTTGTTGGGCGCTGTCGTGTCGTCTCCAATGTCGATGACGCCGTCCTCCCGTAGACTCGGCCAATTTCAGTGGAGTCCCCCTCCAAGCTTACACAAACATATATAAAGTAGCGGGTCATATAGATCCGGCTGGAACAGGTCACACAGACCAGTGAAACATAAACAGGTCGCACAGACCAGTCAACTGCAGGTCACACAGACCAGTCTAATGTACGGGTATAAAGTGTTACCTCTCCATGGCCACACAGGTCCAGGTAAGAATATATAGGAATAGGTCACACAGACCAGCCAAATACAAGGGTATTATGTTTACCCTCTCCATGATCACACAAGTACAGGTAGGTATATATGTAGGTGAAGGGTTAATCTGGGAACGTTCAGTATCACGTCATCGGGATCTGATAGTGGTAGAGTACCAAAATGACCATCTGTATTTGGCCTTCTGTTACACAGACGTCGACGGTCCAAGGACGAAAAGCTACAGTATACGTATGCCTTTATTAAATAACCAATGTACACGTAACGATAGTATTATACTAGAATACTATTTAATTACAATTATTGATTAATACAATATAATTTATATCTGAACTGGTTATATATAGTATTTGAACAGTAGTGCTAGCACTAAACATTTCATTATGCTGAACAAAGCTAACAGTGCTATTGTTCACGTTTTACCTGGTCCCATACACATGCATATATACACCCCAGTGCGCTCACAGTACCGGGTATGCATACATTCATACCAGGTTCAATACACTTTTATACGGCACGTATAATGTCTGCCTATATATGACTCAATACATTTGTTATAATATATCTGGTATAACTTAAACAAGTTTAAACTTACCGCAAGCAGCTAATTGCGCTCCAACGTTCACTACACGGTCCGCAACCGTAATATCCGCCCTTCTCAACTGTAGAACACTCATTAGCGCATGCGCAACTTACCTGTTAAAGTTACCTGGCTGGAAAGCGCACGGCATTCAAACACTGAAATTTACAAGTTATATACACCCTGTCCAAACGGCATGTGACAACACGCCCCATCCAGTAGAATAAGCTTTGCCTCTGAAAGTTATTATCATCCAGTTACATGCCATTGGGATAGCTCTGGTCTTCATATCCTGCTGAGGAAATCTGCTCCCACATTTTCTCTTCCTCGTATTGCTCGCATCTTGAATCGGTACGGCTGAAGCTGAAGCGTCCATCGCATCAATCTTGAATTAACTCCCTTCATCTTGTTCAAATACAATAAAGGCTGGTGGTCCGTCTCCAAGATGAATTATCGTCCATACAAATACTTCTGGAATGTCTGGATCGCCCAGACTACTGCTAATCATTCCTTCTCAACGACTGCATAGGTTCGCTCACTGTCCTTCAGTTTCCCACTAGCGTAAGCCACTGGGAACAAGCCACCCTATGAGTGTTGTGTGTATCTTCCCCCAGAATGTGATGCTACTCATATAATGAATTCCACAAATCTATCGAAAAGAGTTCGATGCTTTGTACTGATCTGCTGCGATTTTAATCTACCTGACATTATGTGGATAAAGTCATCAACATAATCCCATCTAGAGCCCCAGTATACCATCTGTATCTGTTCTAAATTCGTTAAATTATTCAACCAGTTTGTACGGAG